CACACACACACACACACACATACACGCAACATAGAGGTGAGGAAGAGTTCTGACACTTTTTGTGGATATATTTCATTTCCGTCATGAAGGAGCCACCAACACAAAGGGAAGATTAGAAAGGTGAGAACTTAGTTAAAATTAAGAAATAATAATCAGTTATACTTCAGAATTCATTTTAATCACAACCTATGACATCTCAACAGCCTCTCACTCCTGCTGGAATAGCTGCTGATATTTCTCTGATTTTGGAAACAAACAGGGCCGGAGGAGCACAATGAGTGCTTTTTCTCAATCCGGAGTTGTGCATTATTCAGGAAACCAATTTTTTTTTTCCTTTTGAAACACAGTGTGTCCTGTCAATTTGTACAAAATGGAGGTCCTGATATTTTCAAAGAACATGGCATGTTTTATGGTGGTTGCTCCCTTCGGTGGGAGACTTCGCATTGTGTTGTGAAGCACAGCCCTTATGTTAAGAGGTTCAGGACCTCAGGAGGTGAAGCATTTTACCTCATGTGGAAAACTAACTTTATTTAATCTGTGCCAGAGTGATTCAGTTGAGTCTTTTGGTTTACACTGAGACCTAACCCACAATATATCCCACTGGAGATTTTTTTTCTCTCTCTCTCGTGGATTTTGTGTCATGATATTTTTTTCCCCCCAGTTTGAACTCAAATGGCCGAATGCTTCGATAGCAATACCCTTGGAAGACGCATTTAAGCTGCAGTGGTCTATACTGAAGCGAAGAATGTCTGAGATATAAAATTAATAAGAGGCCCACCCTTCCACAAAGACACCCCCACCCTACCCCTCTACATATCACACTGGGAAAACAAATTTTGTTACTCATTTGGATTCCACGAGAGGAGAAAAAAATGGCAACGCAACATTCAGTATTGTCAGTATTGTATTAATGCACAAAGAATACCGAAGCATTCATTTTAAAATTTTGTGCCTTTATAGCGACCAGTTATCTGTAAATATATAGCAGATACAGATTGTATTTGGGGAGGGATGCGATCCTTTTTAGTGATTTTTTTTAAAGGTAAATAAATAAATAAACTATGGAATTAAACATTTACAAAAGGAGAATTTCAAACTAATCAAATGTTACATGAAAGAATAAATTTATATAATCCTTGTTACGTTGCTGGTTAAATGAAGTCTGGTTTTATTTCTAAACATGTCACTAGTTAACCTTCTGTTCTTAACTGGAATGATTGCTGGTAAAGCCGTGATGGTGAACCTATTGCACATGTGTCACAGGTGGCATGCAGAACCATTTGTGCTGGCACACGCAGCGCAGGCAAACTTACCTCACTGCACATGTGCGTGCCTCACAGCTGATTTTCTGCCTGTTTGAGGTCTTTTTTGGCCTCCCAGAGACTTGAGGAAAGCCTTTGCAGGCCCAAAAATAGGCCCATTTTGTCACTTCCTGTATTTCCAGAAATACCGGAAGTGATGAAATGGGTCCATTTTTCAGCCTGCAAAGCCTGCAGAAGCTTTCCTCAAGCCTCTGGGAGGCTGAAAAAGGCCTCAAATGGACCGAAAACCAGCTGGGAGGTGCAGTGCAGGTAAAGGGACAGTGGGGGGAGATTGCAGGGGGCACAGGGGGTGTGGGGGGGGCATGCGCATTGCCTTCTGGGTGCTGGCACGTGATCACGAGAGGGAGCGCACGCAAAATTTTGTCACAGGAGCCCAAAAGGGTTAGTCACCACTGCTCTAAGGACTACAAAAATTAGGTGGCTCACTTTTTCCTTAAGCTAAGATAGTAATTGTAAAGGGAGGTCAGTTAGGAAGAGCAGTGGGATCAAAAATATTTTTTTTTTCTGGATTAAGGTATGTTTTCTGTGAACCATTATCATGTCAATATTTTTCTGTTGCCATAGTGGCGTGGAGTCCTTGGGTGCAGTTCCTTCTCTTTTGTGCATGCCGTCTACTGCTACCAAAACAGCTGGAAATACAATGAGACTCCCTCAAATTTCCAAATGCAGATGTAAGGATTGCATAGTTCAATGCTCCTTCTTTCCTTCCACAAAAAACACCTTTCTTTGGAAAGCAACCATGCCAGGGTGACAATTTGAGACTTCTCTTTAATGTAAACTGGGTACTATAAATTAAGGTGAGCTTTTTGCTCACATTAGTTGGGGAGCCTGTGTTGGCAGTGATGTATGCCTCTAATTAGTTGTGCTGGAATTGAGATGTGGACTAAATGGATGGTGGTATTAAAGCTTTGACTCCATTAAGCTATTAAGCCATTTGTCTACGGCTGTGATGACCTGGGGCGTGGCACCAAGGCAACACAGTCACATAAGTAAGAAAAGTCCCTTTAGCACCTCCAACTTTGCCCCCAATGTCCAGTTACCTTCGGCTGAAGAAAAAACAATCCCCAAAACAGTCTTTAAGTGGAAGAAATTCAGTCCAAAAACAAAGTACATATAAACTGTAAATAAAAATCCACACAAACCATGCTGCAGCAATTAACTGGATAGGGCAGGAGAAGGAATTGCAGACTTCAAAGGCCAACAAAACACACACAGTTGGGAAGATGCCGGGAACCCAGATCAGCCTCGACAATAAAAGATAACTCACAATTTGCTTCCAACAAGTTGGTGTGAGCAATCTCCCTTTTTAAACACTGTGCTCCCAGCTGCAGCTAATGAAGGGAATCAGGGCCCTTTCCTCCCCCATAAGCTACGCAACTCACGTTGCTCCTTTCTCTGTTCCTTCCTGGATAAAGGGGGTGGCTCTGGATCTTCATCTGAATTCCCTCTCCTTTGTTCTACCTCTCCCCTGCTCTGCCCAGCCAGACTCTGCCCTTCACCAGTTTCTTCCGCAGCCACTAGAGCCACACTCCCATTCCCTGTCAGCTGCTTGGCCTCTCCCTCGGAATCCAATTCTGACAGGGGCATGACAACAGCACTGTGCTGCTGTCTGTGGCGCAAAGATCTTGAGGAGGGGAGGAAATTAGATATCTGTTTTCCCTTTCCAGGAATTACGAGTTAAGACCTACATGCTGGTACTGTTTATGGAAGAAAGTTGGAATAGTAAAAAAATAATGATTAGAATATCTGAATTAGATTTAGAGAAATATAATTCAGAGATTAAAAGTTTGTTAAAAGCTAAAATTTAAACTTAGATTTGAAGTCTTTCCAAAGATTGCCAGTTGGTTTATTTTCATCAACGTCACCAATTATTTTTGAGGGCCTGTTGAAATTGAATTGTCATTCCCAGTAAGATTTAAAATGTAAGAAACAAGCAGCGCGAAAGCGCAAAAATCAAATAAATATGCAAAAAAATGGATTTCTGCAGAGAAGTGATGCTGTGCAGCAAGCAGACACTTAAAGAAAAGATTATCCAACTGGAAGGATTATATTCAAACAGAAGGACTGTTTGGAGGTGCATCCGGAGAAAGAAGGGTCTCCCCCAGAATGCCAAGACATCAAGGCAAAACTTGGGTCATTGAAGGTGAAAAGAAAGCCAGGTGTTTTTCTTTGGGGCAGGGACAAAAAAATTCAGTGGGACCAGATCAATTTAGTTTTAGCTGGAAGTCACTTAAATACAGCTAAGAAGATTACATCCTATGCATTTAATTTTTTAAAAATCCCTTTTCTACAACTTGTAAAATTACTACTTGATGGTGCTCTGTGGTGGGACACAGCCTAAGGTTTGAAGCATCTCAAGTGGCCTCCCTCCCTCCCTTCTCCTCTCCCTCTCCTTCCTTTTTCCTTCATTCCCCTCTCTTTCCTTTCTCTTCTTCCTTCCTTTCCCTCTCCTTCCTTCCTTTCTTCCTCCCTCCCTCTCTTCATTCCCCATTCCTTCCTTTCTCTCCTTTTCTCTCCTTCCTTTCTCCTTTCTTTCCTTCTTTCTTTCCTTCCTCTTTCCTTCCTTTCTTCCTTCCCTCCCTCCCTCCCCCTCTTTCTTTTTCTTTTTTTCTTTTTCGTTCTTTCTTCAGAGAAATAAGGGTCGAAGTTCATTCTTCTGAGAATGTAAGC